CAGGGTCAACATCTCACTCACTCAGTCATCGTCAGGGTCAACATCTCACTCACTCACTCAGTCATCGTCAGGGTCAACATCTCACTCACTCACTCAGTCATCGTCAGGGTCAACAACTCACTCACTCAGTCATCGTCAGGGCAACAACTCACTCACTCACTCAGACTCATCGTCAGGGTCAACACTCACTCACTCAGTCATCGTCATGGTCAACATCTCACTCACTCAGTCATCGTCAGGGTCAACATCTCACTCACTCACTCAGTCATCGTCAGGGTCAACATCTCACTCACTCACTCATCGTCAGGGTCAACAACTCACTCACTCACTCAGTCATCGTCAGGGTCAACATCTCACTCACTCAGTCATCGTCAGGGTCAACATCTCACTCAGTCATCGTCAGGTCAACAATCACTTCACTCCACTCAGTCATCGTCAAGGGTCACAACTCACTCACTCAGTGAGTCATCGTCAAGGGTCACATCTCAACTCACTCAGTCCATCGTCAGGGTCAACATCTCACACTCACTCAGCCATCGTCAGGAGGTCAACATCTCACATCACTGCACTCAGTCATCGTCAGGGTCAACATTCACTCACTCAGTCATCGTCAGGGTCAACATCTCACTCACTCACTCAGTCATCGTCAGGGTCAACATCTCACTCACTTCACTCATTACGTCAGGGTCAACAATCTCACTCACTCACTTCAGTCATCGTCAGGGTCAACAACTCACTCACTCAGTCATCGTCAGGGTAACAACACTCACTCAGTCAGTCATCGTCAGGGTCAACATACTCACTCACTCAGTCAGTCATCGTCAGGGTCACAACTCACTCACCTCACAGCATCGTCAGGGCCAACATTTCACTCACTCACTCAATCGTCAGGGGTCAACATCTCACTCACTCAGTCATCGTCAGGGTCAACATCTCACTCACTCACTCAGTCATCGTCAGGGTCAACATCTCACTCACTCACTCAGTTATCGTCAGGGTCAACATCTCACTCACTCACTCAGTCATCGTCAGGGTCAACAACTCACTCACTCAGTCATCGTCAGGGTCAACAACTCACTCAGTCAGTCATCGTCAGGGTCAACAACTCACTCACTCAGTCAGTCATCGTCAGGGTCAACAACTCACTCACTCAGCCATCGTCAGGGTCAACATTTCACTCACTCACTCATCGTCAGGGTCAACATCTCACTCACTCAGTCATCGTCAGGGTCAACATCTCACTCACTCACTCAGTCATCGTCAGGGTCAACATCTCACTCAGTCACTCAGTCATCGTCAGGGTCAACAACTCACTCACTCAGTCATCGTCAGGGTCAACAACTCACTCACTTAGTCATCGTCAGGGTCAACATCTCACTCACTCACTCAGTCATCGTCAGGGTCACCAACTCACTCACTCAGTCATCGTCAGGGTCAACATCTCACTCACTCAGTCATCGTCAGGGTCAACATCTCACTCACTCACTCAGTCATCGTCAGGGTCAACATCTCACTCAGTCACTCAGTCATCGTCAGGGTCAACAACTCACTCACTCAGTCATCGTCAGGGTCAACAACTCACTCACTTAGTCATCGTCAGGGTCAACAACTCACTCACTCACTCAGTCATCGTCAGGGTCACCAACTCACTCACTCAGTCATCGTCAGGGTCAACATCTCACTCACTCAGTCATCGTCAGGGTTAACATCTCACTCACTCACTCAGACATCGTCAGGGTCAACATCTCACTCACTCAGTCAGTCATCGTCAGTGTCAACATCTCACTCACTCAGTCATCGTCAGGGTCAACAACTCACTCACTCACTCAGTCATCATCAGGGTCAACATCTCACTCACTCACTCAGTCATCGTCAGGGTCAACAACTCACTCACTCAGTCAGTCATCGTCAGGGTCAACATCTCACTCACTCAGACATCGTCAGGGTCAACGACTCACTCACTCACTCAGTCATCGTCAGGGTCACAACTCACTCACTCAGTCATCGTCAGGGTCAACAACTCACTCACTCACTCAGTCATCGTCAGGGTCAACAACTCACTCACTCACTCATTGTCAGGGTCAACAACTCACTCACTCAGTCATCGTCAGGGTCAACATCTCACTCACTCAGTCATCGTCAGGGTCAACAACTCACTCACTCAGTCATCGTCAGGGTCAACATCTCACTCACTCAGTCATCGTCAGGGTCAACAACTCACTCACTCACTCAGTCATCGTCAGGGTCAACATCTCACTCACTCAGTCATCGTCAGGGTCAACATCTCACTCACTCACTCAGTCATCGTCAGGGTCAACATCTCACTCACTCACTCAGTCATCGTCAGGGTCAACATCTCACTCACTCACTCAGTCATCGTCAGGGTCAACATCTCACTCACTCAGTCATCGTCAGGGTCAACATCTCACTCACTCACTCAGTCATCGTCAGGGTCAACATCTCACTCACTCAGACATCGTCAGGGTCAACAACTCACTCACTCACTCAGTCATCGTCAGGGTCAACATCTCACTCACTCACTCAGTCATCGTCAGGGTCAACAACTCACTCACTCAGTCATCGTCAGGGTCAACAACTCACTCACTCAGTCATCGTCAGGGTCAACATCTCACTCACTCACTCAGTCATCGTCAGGGTCAACAACTCACTCACTCACTCAGTCATCGTCAGGGTCAACATCTCACTCACTCACTCAGACATCGTCAAGGTCAACATCTCACTCACTCACTCAGTCATCGTCAGGGTCAACAACTCACTCACTCAGTCATCGTCAGGGTCAACATCTCACTCACTCAGTCAGTCATCGTCAGGGTCAACATCTCACTCACTCAGACATCGTCAGGGTCAACGACTCACTCACTCACTCAGTCATCGTCAGGGTCAACAACTCACTCACTCAGTCAGTCATCGTCAGGGTCAACAACTCACTCAGTCATCGTCAGGGTCAACAACTCACTCACTCACTCAGTCATCGTCAGGGTCAACATCTCACTCACTCACTCAGTCATCGTCAGGGTCAACAACTCACTCAGTCAGTCATCGTCAGTGTCAACAACTCACTCACTCAGTCATCGTCAGGGTCAACAACTCACTCACTCACTCAGTCATCGTCAGGGTCAACATCTCACTCACTCAGTCATCGTCAGGGTCAACATCTCACTCACTCAGTCATCGTCAGGGTCAACAACTCACTCACTCAGTCATCGTCAGGGTCAACAACTCACTCACTCAGTCATCGTCAGGGTCAACAACTCACTCACTCACTCAGTCATCGTCAGGGTCAACAACTCACTAACTCACTCAGTCATCGTCAGGGTCAACATCTCACTCACTCAGCCATCGTCAGGGTCAACATCTCACTCACTCACTCAGTCATCGTCAGTGTCAACATCTCACTCACTCACTCAGTCATGGTCAGGGTCAACAACTCCATCACTCACTCAGTCATCGTCAGGGTCAACAACTCACTCACTCAGTCAGTCATCGTCAGGGTCAACAACTCACTCACTCACTCAGTCATCGTCAGGGTCAACAACTCACTCACTCAGTCATCGTCAGGGTCAACATCTCACTCACTCACTCAGTCATCGTCAGGGTCAACAACTCACTCACTCACTCAGTCATCGTCAGGGTCAACATCTCACTCACTCAGTCATCGTCAGGGTCAACATCTCACTCACTCACTCAGTCATCGTCAGGGTCAACATCTCACTCACTCACTCAGTCATCGTCAGGGTCAACATCTCACTCACTCACTCAGTCATCGTCAGGGTCAACATCTCACTCACTCACTCAGTCATCGTCAGGGTCAACATCTCACTCACTCAGACATCGTCAGGGTCAACAACTCACTCACTCAGTCATCGTCAGGGTCAACATCTCACTCACTCAGTCATCGTCAGGGTCAACAACTCACTCACTCACTCAGTCATCGTCAGGGTCAACAACTCACTCACTCACTCAGTCATCGTCAGGGTCAACATCTCACTCACTCAGTCAGTCATCGTCAGGGTCAACAACTCACTCACTCAGTCATCGTCAGGGTCAACAACTCACTCACTCACTCAGTCATCGTCAGGGTCAACGACTCACTCACTCACTCAGTCATCGTCAGGGTCAACAACTCACTCACTCACTCAGTCATCGTCAGGGTCAACATCTCACTCACTCAGTCATCGTCAGGGTCAACATCTCACTCACTCACTCAGTCATCGTCAGGGTCAACATCTCACTCACTCACTCAGTCATCGTCAGGGTCAACATCTCACTCACTCACTCAGTCATCGTCAGGGTCAACATCTCACTCACTCACTCAGTCATCGTCAGGGTCAACATCTCACTCACTCAGTCATCGTCAGGGTCAACAACTCACTCACTCACTCAGTCATCGTCAGGGTCAACAACTCACTCACTCACTCAGTCATCGTCAGGGTCAACATCTCACTCACTCAGTCAGTCATCGTCAGGGTCAACAACTCACTCACTCAGTCATCGTCAGGGTCAACAACTCACTCACTCACTCAGTCATCGTCAGGGTCAACGACTCACTCACTCACTCAGTCATCGTCAGGGTCAACAACTCACTCACTCAGTCATCGTCAGGGTCAACAACTCACTCACTCAGTCATCGTCAGGGTCAACAACTCACTCACTCACTCAGTCATCGTCAGGGTCAACAACTCACTCACTCAGTCATCGTCAGGGTCAACAACTCACTCACTCACTCAGTCATCGTCAGGGTCAACATCTCACTCACTCACTAAGTCATCGTCAGGGTGAGGGGTGGAACCCACGACCTCGTGTGGACTAGGCGAGGTAGTCAACATCTCACCCACTCACTCAGACATCGGCAGGGTCAGGATCGAACCCATGACCTCCTGCACACCGGGCGAGGTAGTCAACATCTCACCCACGACCTCTCCTGCACACCAGGCGAGGTATTCAACATCTCACCCACGACCTCCTGTGTACCAGGCGAGCTATTCAACATCTCACCCACGCCATCTCCTTATCACCGGGCGAGGTAGCCAACACCTTAGTCTTGGGGTCAACGTCTCACCCACGGCACCTCCTGCACACCAGGCGAGCTATTCAACATCTCACCCACGCCATCTCCTTATCACCGGGCGAGGTAGCCAACACCTGAGTCTTGGGGTCAACGTCTCACCCACGCCACCTCCTGCACACGGGGGCGAGGGCAGCCGCCTTCCTTCCCACCTTGACGGCGGCGACTTCGTAGCCGTCGGGGTTCATGGAGGGGAGCAGGTGAATGCGAGTGCCGTCCACGAGCGAGCGCACGCGCTCGTCGCCCGCCAGGTAGGCCCGGCACAGGTACTGCATGAGCAGCAGCAGCAACTCGCGGCCCAGCACCTCGTTGCCGTGCATGCCGGCCACGTAGCGGAACTCCGGCTCACCTGCGGGGGGGGCGTGTGTGTGTGTGTTTACAGGTGTGTGTTTACAGGTGTGTGTTTACAGGTGTGTTTACAGGTGTGTGTGTGTGTGTACAGGTGTGTGTTTACAGGTGTGTGTGTGTGTACAGGTGTGTGTGTACAGGTGTGTGTGTACAGGTGTGTGTTTACAGGTGTGTGTACAGGTGTGTGTTTACAGGTGTGTGTGTACAGGTGTGTGTGTGTACAGGTGTGTGTGTGTACAGGTGTGTGTTTACAGGTGTGTGTGTGTGTACAGGTGTGTGTGTACAGGTGTGTGTTTACAGCTGTGTGTGTGTGTGTGTTTACAGGTGTGTTTACAGGTGTGTGTGTACAGGTGTGTGTGTACAGGTGTGTGTTTACAGGTGTGTGTACAGGTGTGTGTGTACAGGTGTGTGTGTACAGGTGTGTGTTTACAGGTGTGTTTACAGGTGTGTGTGTACAGGTGTGTGTGTACAGGTGTGTGTTTACAGGTGTGTGTACAGGTGTGTGTTTACAGGTGTGTGTGTACAGGTGTGTGTGTGTACAGGTGTGTGTGTGTACAGGTGTGTGTTTACAGGTGTGTGTGTGTACAGGTGTGTGTGTACAGGTGTGTTTACAGGTGTGTGTGTGTGTTTACAGGTGTGTGTACAGGTGTGTGTGTGTGTGTACAGGTGTGTGTTTACAGGTTTGTGTGTGTGTACATGTGTGTGTGTACAGGTGTGTTTACAGGTGTGTGTGTGTGTTTACAGGTGTGTGTGTACAGGTGTGTTTACAGGTGTGTGTGTGTACAGGTGTGTGTTTACAGGTGTGTTTACAGGTGTGTGTGTGTGTTTACAGGTGTGTGTACAGGTGTGTGTGTGTACAGGTGTGTGTTTACAGGTGTGTGTGTGTGTTTACAGGTGTGTGTACAGGTGTGTGTGTGTACAGGTGTGTGTGTACAGGTGTGTGTTTACAGGTGTGTGTGTGTGTTTACAGGTGTGTGTACAGGTGTGTGTGTGTACAGGTGTGTGTGTACAGGTGTGTGTTTACAGGTGTGTGTGTACAGGTGTGTGTTTACAGGTGTGTTTACAGGTGTGTGTGTGTGTTTACAGGTGTGTGTACAGGTGTGTGTGTGTACAGGTGTGTGTGTACAGGTGTGTGTTTACAGGTGTGTGTGTGTGTGTACAGGTGTGTGTTTACAGGTGCGTTTACAGGTGTGTGTGTGTTTACAGGTGTGTGTACAGGTGTGTGTGTGTACAGGTGTGTGTGTACAGGTGTGTGTACAGGTGTGTGTGTGTGTTTACAGGTGTGTGTACAGGTGTGTGTGTGTGTTTACAGGTGTGTGTACAGATGTGTGTGTGTGTGTTTACACCAATACTAAGCACCTGCCAGGGTATTTTGTACCATCGGACACTCCACCCCCACAACTCCCAATCGGTGATGGGGCAGTTGTGGAGAGAGTGGAGAGTTTCCCATACCTGGGCAGTGTGCTTATGACCGGCTCCAGCTTAACAGCAGAGGTCTCACTCCAAATCAGTCGAGCAGCAATATCTTTTCATCGGTTGCGTAACGCTATGTGGAAGTTACCTGGTCTGTCGCTCCGCACTAAGTTTCAGGTCTTCTCGGCCACGGTCATTCCCTCCCTTCTCTACGCTTGCGAAACGTGGACCCCCCTAATGGAACATCTTCGCCGGTTAGAAACATTTAGGCTGGCCTGCCTACGATCCATCCTGGGTTTAACCAGACTGGACTGTGTGAGGAGCTCACAAATCCTTGAAAGATCTGGACAAGGTCCCATCGGTGAGCTCCTCCGGCGGGCAAGGCTGCGATGGCTGGGTCATGTAGCCCGCATGCCCAGCCACCGCATGCCTAAACAGCTTTTGTTCGGCCGGATCGAGGGGGCTAAGCGGGCGCGGCACGGGCTAGAGAAGAGATGGAGTGATGTGGTACAGGAGGACGTGGAGCTGAGTGGACTTGCCGATGACCGGTACCAGCGGTGTCAAGATCGGCCTCTGTGGAGGAGGCTCGTGAAGGACGCTACTGGGCAGTTGGAGGCAGTCGCCCTCCAACAACAACGGAGGGCGGAGGAGCGACGCTCAGAACAACGAGCGGAGCGCCGGGTGGCTAAAGCACAGCAGATTGGCACAGTAGGGGGCACAGGTGGTGCATCAGCCAGTCATCTCAGTCAGTCGACCCGTGGCACCTGGGTCTGCCCCGTGACCTCCTGCCAGCGGGCGTTCGACACTTCACGTGGCCTCAGGGTGCACATAGCCTGGCACAAGCGTCGTGGTGACGTCACCGTCACTTAGTGGCGAATGGCGGTTGTTGTTGTTGTGTACAGGTGTGTTTACAGGTGTGTGTGTGTACAGGTGTGTTTACAGGTGTGTGTGTACAGGTGTGTGTGTGTGTGTGCGGGCAAGGCTGCGATGGCTGGGTCATGTAGCCAGCATGCCCAGCCACCGCATGCCGAAACAGCTTTTGTTCGGCCGGATTGAGAGGGCTAAACGGGCGCGGCACGTGCTAGAGAAGAGATGGAGTGATGTGATACAGGAGGACGTGGAGCTGAGTGGACTTGCCGATGACTGGTACCAGCGGTGTCAAGATCGGCCTCTGTGGAGGAGGCTCGTGAAAGACGCTACTGGGCAGTTGGAGGTAGTCGCCCTCCAACAACAACGGAGGGCGGAGGAGCGACGCTCAGAACAACGAGCGGAGCGCCGGGTGGCTAAAGCACAGCAGGTTGGCACAGTAGGGGGCACAGGTGGTGCATCAGCCAGTCATCTCAGTCAGTCGACCCGTGGCACCTGGGTCTGCCCCGTGACCTCCTGCCAGCGGGCGTTCGACACTCCACGTGGTCTCAAGGTGCACATGGCCTGGCACAAGCGTCGTGGTGACGTCACCGCCACTTAGTGGCGAATGGCGGTTGTTGTTGTTGTGTGTGTGTGTACAGGGTGTGTGTGTGTGTAGTGTGTGTGTGTACAGGTGTGTGTGTGTGTACAGGTGTTTGTGTGTGTGAGGAGCGATAGTGTAGTGGTTAGCGCTACGCTGCGCTATGAACCCGGCGACCCGGGTTCGATTCCCGCTCACGGCCAACACCAGTGACGATTATCTGAACCGGTCCCGGGCCTCCCCTAGGTCGACTCAGCCTAAAATAAGTACCTGGTGCGATGTGTAGTAAACATCGCCACTAGGGAGACAAAGGCGGTCCGGCGTGGTGCTGGCCACCCACCCCCTCGTGTACCGTTCCGGCCTTCATAGGTGCTCGCTAACAGCACTTGCCCCTACAGTCTGTTACAGGCCATATGCGGGATCTATGTCTTTATCTTTGTGCGTGTGTACAGGTGTGTGTGTGTGTACAGGTGTGTGTGTGTGTACAGGTGTGTGTTTACAGGTGTGTGTGTACAGGTGTGTGTGTATGTGTGTACAGGTGCGTATATGTACAGGTGTGTGTACAGGTGTACACACACCGACCGCGGCTCGTTCGTGCCAGGCTAGGTGCACGCACCAGGCTCATGGCGGCCGGGTTGGTCTGATATCTCCATGGCGTAGAGTTTCCGGCCCTCCTGGCTGCGTCCGATGCTGTAGACTCGGGCAATGTCCGGACACTCGGCCTGGACCGCACGCATCAACTGAGACACACACAGACACACAGACACACACACACAGACACACAGTCACACACAGTCACACAGACACACAGACACATAGACACAGACACACAGTCACACACAGTCACACAGACACACAGACACATAGACACAGACACACAGACACACACACAGACACACACACAGTCACACACACAGAAACACTCACACAGACACACACACAGACACACACAGACACACACACAGACACACACACAGACACACAGTCACACACAGTCACACACAGTCACACAGACACAGACACACACACACAGTCACACACACACACAGACACACAGACACACACACACAGACACACAGTCACACACACACAGACACACACAGTCACACACAGACACACACACAGACACACACAGTCACACACAGACACACACACAGACACACACACAAACACACAGACACACACACACACACACAGTCACACACACACAGTCAAACACACACACAGACACACACAGTCACACACACACACAGTCACACACACAGACACACACACAGTCCCAAAAAGTCACACAGACACACAGACACACACACACACAGACACACAGTCACACACAGACACACAGACAGACACACACACACAGACACACAGACACACACACACAGACACACAGACACACACAGACACACACACAGACACACAAACACACACATACACACACAGACACACACACAGACACACAAAAACACAGACCGATGCACACAGTGAGACGGAGAGAGAGACACAAACACACAGACACTCACACAACAACACACAGACACACGCACAGACACACACAGACACACACAGTGAGACAGAGAAAGACACACACAGACCGACACACACACATGCACACACACACACACAGACTCACAAAGACACATGCACAAAGACAAAGATCCCCGTATAGCCTTTAACAGACTGTAGGGGCAAGTGCTGTTAGCGAACAGCACCACCACCACTCTGTACCACCACCACTCCTACACCACCACCACCACTCTGTGCCACCACCACTGTGAACCACCACCACCACTCAGCACCACCACCACCACTCTGCACCACCACCACCACCACTCTGCACCACCACCACCACTCTACACCACCACTCTGCACCACCACCACCACCCTGCACCACCACCACCACCACCCTGCACCACCACCACCACCACCACCCTGCACCACCACCACCACCACTCTGCACCACCACCACCACCACTCTGTACCACCACCACAACCACTCTGCACCACCACCACCACCACTCTCTAACGCACCCGACGCATGGAGTCGTAGTTGTGGTGCTGGAAGTCCAGGCGCAGGTCACGTGACTCAGCATCGCCCCGGGCAGCAGAGGAGGAAGAATCCTCGGCTGGGTCTGCCAGGAGGAGCGGTGGGACAACGGTCGACTCAGCCTCAAATAGTCTAACATCTCTGTGTTATGAATCTATGGGTCTCTGTGTGAGTGAGTCTATGGGTCTCTGTGTGAGTGAGTCTATGGGTCTCTGTGTGATGAGTCTATGGGTCTCTGTGTGATGAGTCTATGGGTCTCTGTGTGAGTGAGTCTATGGGTCTCTGTGTGAGTGAGTCTATGGGTCTCTGTGTGATGAGTCTATGGGTCTCTGTGTGAGTGAGTCTGTAGGTCTCTGTATGAGTGAGTCTATGGGTCTCTGTATGAGTGAGTCTATGGGTCTCTGTGTGAGTGAGTCTATGGGTCTCTGTATGAGTGAGTCTATGGGTCTCTGTGTGATGAGTCTATGGGTCTCTGTGTGATGAGTCTATGGGTCTCTGTGTGAGTGAGTCTATGGGTCTCTGTGTGAGTGAGTCTATGAGTCTCTGTGTGAGTCTACGTCTCTCTCTCTCTCTGCCTGTATGAGTGAGTCTATGGGTCTCTGTATGAGTGAGTCTATGGGTCTCTGTATGAGTGAGTCTATGGGTCTCTGTATGAGTGAGTCTATGGGTCTCTGTATGAGTGAGTCTATGGGTCTCTGTGTGAGTGAGTCTATGGGTCTCTGTGTGAGTCGATGAGTCTCTGTGTGAGTGAGTCTATGGGTCTCTGTGTGGTGAGTCTGTGAGTCTCTGTGTGAGTCTATGAGTCTCTGTGTGAGTGAGTCTGTGGGTCTCTGTGTGATGAGTCTGTGGGTCTTTGTGTGATGAGTCTATGGGTCTCTATGTGATGAGTCTGGGGGTCTCTGTTTGATGAGTCTGTGGGTCTCTGTGTGTCTCTGTGTAATGAGTCTATGGGTCTCTGTATGAGTGAGTCTATGGGTCTCTGTGTGAGTGAGTCTATGGGTCTCTGTGTGAGTGAGTCTATGGGTCTCTGTGTGATGAGTCTATGGGTCTCTGTGTGAGTGAGTCTGTAGGTCTCTGTATGAGTGAGTCTATGGGTCTCTGTATGAGTGAGTCTATGGGTCTCTGTGTGAGTGAGTCTATGGGTCTCTGTATGAGTGAGTCTATGGGTCTCTGTGTGATGAGTCTATGGGTCTCTGTGTGATGAGTCTATGGGTCTCTGTGTGAGTGAGTCTATGGGGCTCTGTGTGAGTGAGTCTATGAGTCTCTGTGTGAGTCTACGTCTCTCTCTCTCTCTGCCTGTATGAGTGAGTCTATGGGTCTCTGTATGAGTGAGTCTATGGGTCTCTGTGTGATGAGTCTATGGGTCTCTGTGTGATGAGTCTATGGGTCTCTGTGTGAGTGAGTCTATGGGTCTCTGTGTGATGAGTCTATGGGTCTCTGTGTGAGTGAGTCTGTAGGTCTCTGTATGAGTGAGTCTATGGGTCTCTGTATGAGTGAGTCTATGGGTCTCTGTGTGAGTGAGTCTATGGGTCTCTGTATGAGTGAGTCTATGGGTCTCTGTGTGATGAGTCTATGGGTCTCTGTGTGATGAGTCTATGGGTCTCTGTGTGAGTGAGTCTATGGGTCTCTGTGTGAGTGAGTCTATGAGTCTCTGTGTGAGTCTACGTCTCTCTCTCTCTCTGCCTGTATGAGTGAGTCTATGGGTCTCTGTATGAGTGAGTCTATGGGTCTCTGTATGAGTGAGTCTATGGGTCTCTGTATGAGTGAGTCTATGGGTCTCTGTATGAGTGAGTCTATGGGTCTCTGTGTGAGTGAGTCTATGGGTCTCTGTGTGAGTCTATGAGTCTCTGTGTGAGTGAGTCTATGGGTCTCTGTGTGGTGAGTCTGTGAGTCTCTGTGTGAGTCTATGAGTCTCTGTGTGAGTGAGTCTGTGGGTCTCTGTGTGATGAGTCTGTGGGTCTTTGTGTGATGAGTCTATGGGTCTCTGTGTAATGAGTCTATGGGTCTCTGTATGAGTGAGTCTATGGGTCTCTGTGTGAGTGAGTCTATGGGTCTCTGTGTGAGTGAGCCTATGGGTCTCTGTGTGATGAGTCTATGGGTCTCTGTGTGAGTGAGTCTGTAGGTCTCTGTATGAGTGAGTCTATGGGTCTCTGTATGAGTGAGTCTATGGGTCTCTGTGTGAGTGAGTCTATGGGTCTCTGTATGAGTGAGTCTATGGGTCTCTGTGTGATGAGTCTATGGGTCTCTGTGTGATGAGTCTATGGGTCTCTGTGTGAGTGAGTCTATGGGGCTCTGTGTGAGTGAGTCTATGAGTCTCTGTGTGAGTCTACGTCTCTCTCTCTCTCTGCCTGTATGAGTGAGTCTATGGGTCTCTGTATGAGTGAGTCTATGGGTCTCTGTATGAGTGAGTCTATGGGTCTCTGTATGAGTGAGTCTATGGGTCTCTGTATGAGTGAGTCTATGGGTCTCTGTGTGAGTGAGTCTATGGGTCTCTGTGTGAGTCTATGAGTCTCTGTGTGAGTGAGTCTATGGGTCTCTGTGTGGTGAGTCTGTGAGTCTCTGTGTGAGTCTATGAGTCTCTGTGTGAGTGAGTCTATGGGTCTCTGTGTGGTGAGTCTATGGGTCTCTGTGTGAGTCTATGAGACTCTGTGTGATGAGTCTATGGGTCTCTGTGTGAGTGAGTCTATGAGTTTCTGTGTGGTGAGTCTATGAGTCTCTGTGTGATGAGTCTATGGGTCTCTGTGTGGTGAGTCTATGGGTCTCTGTGTGATGAGTCTGTGGGTCTCTGTGTGGTGAGTCTGTGGGTCTCTGTGTGAGTCTGTGGGTCTCTGTGTGAGTGAGTCTGTGGGCCTCTGTATGAGTGAGTCTGTGAGTCTCTGTGTGAGTCTATGAGTCTCTGTGTGGTGAGTCTGTGAGACTCTGTATGAGTGAGTCTATGGGTCTCTGTATGAGTGAGTCTATGGGTCTCTGTGTGAGTGAGTCTATGGGTCTCTGTATGAGTGAGTCTATGAGTCTCTGTATGAGTGAGTCTATGGGTCTCTGTGTGAGTGCGTCTGTGAGTCTCTGTGTGAGTCTGTGAGTCTCTGTGTGAGTCTATGAGTCTCTGTGTGGTGAGTCTGTGAGACTCTGTATGAGTGAGTCTATGAGAATCTCTGTATGAGTGAGTCTGTGAGTCGCTGTGTGAGTGAGTCTATGGGTCTCTGTGTGAGTGAGTCTATGAGTCTCTGTGTGATGAGTCTATGGGTCTCTGTGTGAGTGAGTCTGTGGGTCTCTGTATGGTGAGTCTATGGGTCTCTGTGTGAGTGAGTCTATGAGTCTCTGTGTGATGAGTCTATGGGTCTCTCTGTGAGTGAGTCTGTGGGTCTCTGTGTGATGAGTCTATGGGTCTCTGTGTGAGTGAGTCTATGAGTCTCTGTGTGATGAGTCTATGGGTCTCTGTGTGAGTCTATGGGTCTCTGTGTGAGTGAGTCTGTAGGTCTCTGTGTGAGTGAGTCTATGGGTCTCTGTGTGAGTGAGTCTGTGAGTCTCTGTGTGAGTCTATGGGTCTCTGTGTGAGTGAGTCTGTGAGTCTCTGTGTGAGTCTATGGGTCTCTGTGTGAGTGAGTCTATGGGGCTCTCCCTCTCTGCCTGTGTGAGTCTCCGCTTGAGTCGAGTTCGCGTACCCGCTACTGTGCATGCCAGCACCTCCATGCGCAGGCAAATCAGTCCGCCCGGGTGCCACGTGACGGGTAGGAGGCGAAGGAAGCGTGCGGGAGTCGGAGCCGGGAGGAGGTTCAACACCGGCGTGTCCTGGTCAGAGTTGCCCTGGAAAATCTACAGAGGCAGACAGAGAGAGGCGAGCACGTGTGAGTGTGTGAGTGGGTGGGTGTGTGAGTGGGTGAGTAGGTGAGTGAGTGGGTGAGTGAGTGGGTGAGTGAGTGTGTGAGTGTGTGAGTGAGTGGGTGAGTAGGTGAGTGTGTGAGTGTGTGGGTGAGTGAGTGGGTGAGTGAGTGAGTGTGTGAGTGGGTGAGTGAGTAGGTGAGTGGGTGAGTGGTGAGTGAGTGGTGAGTGAGTGGTGAGTGAGTGGTGAGTGTGTGGGTGAGTGAGTGGGTGGGTGAGTAGGTGAGTGAGTGAGTGGGTGAGTGAGTGGTGAGTGAGTGGGTGAGTGGGTGAGTGAGTGAGTGGTGTGTGAGGGAGTGAGTGGGTGAGTGAGCGTGTGCATGAGCGTGTGAGTGAGCGTGTGAGTGTGTGAGTGAGTGAGTGGGTGGGTGAGTGGGTGAGAGGATGGGTGAGTGAGTGAGTGGGTGAGTGAGTGAGTGGGTGGGTGAGTGGGTGGGTGAGTAGGTGAGTGGGTGAGTGTGTGAGTGTGTGAGTGGGTGAGTAGGTGAGTGAGTGAGTGAGTGGGTGAGTGAGTGAGTGAGTGGTGAGTGAGTGGGTGAGTGAGTGAGTGAGTGGTAAGTGAGTGGGTGTGTGAGTGTGTGAGTGAGTGAGTAGGTGAGTGAGCGTGTGCATGAGCGTGTGAGTGAGCGTGTGAGTGTGTGAGTGAGTGAGTGGGTGAGTGGGTGAGAGAGTGGGTGAGTGAGTGAGTGAGTGGGTGAATGAGTGAGTGAGTGGGTGTGTGAGTGAGTGAGTGGGTGAGTGAGTGGGTGAGTGAGTGAGTGGGTGGGTGAGTGAGTGAGTGGGTGGGTGAGTGAGTGAGTGGGTGAGTGGGTGGGTGAGTGTGTGAGTGGGTGAGTGTGTGAGTGAGTGTGTGAGTGAGTGGGTGGGTGTGTGAGTGAGTGTGTGAGTGGGTGAGTGAGTGAGTGGGTGAGTGAGTGAGTGAGTGGGTGGGTGAGTGGGTGAGTGAGTGAGTGAGTGGGTGAGTGAGTGGTGGGTGAGTGAGTGAGTGGGTGGGTGAGTGAGTGAGTGAGTGGGTGAGTGAGTGGGTGGGTAAGTGAGTGAGTGGGTGGGTGAGTGAGTGAGTGGGTGAGTGGGTCGGTGAGTGAGTGAGTGAGTGGGTGAGTGGGTGAGTAAGTGAGTGAGTGGGTGAGTGAGTGGGTGAGTGTGTGAGTGTGTGAGTGGGTGAGTGTGTGAGTGAGTGGGTGAGTGTGAGTGAGTGAGTGAGTGTGTGAGTGTGTGAGTGAGTGAGTGGGTGAGTGAGCGTGTGCATGAGCGTGTGAGTGAGCGTGTGAGTGTGTGAGTGAGTGAGTGTGTGAGTGAGTGAGTGGGTGAGTGGGTGAGAGAGTGGGTGAGTGAGTGAGTGAGTGGGTGAGTGAGTGTGTGAGTGAGTGGGTGAGTGGGTGGGTGAGTGAGTGAGTGGGTGAGTGAGTGAGTGAGTGGGTGGGTGAGTGGTGAGTGAGTGAGTGGGTGAGTGAGTGGGTGGAGTGAGTGAGTGAGTGAGTGGTGGGTGGGTGAGTGAGTGAGTGGGTGAGTAAGTGAGTGAGTGGGTGGGTGGGTGAGTGAGTGAGTGGGTGAGTGCGTGGGTGAGTGAGTGAGTGAGTGGGTGAGTGGGTGAGTGAGTGAGTGAGTGGGTGAGTGAGTGGGTGAGTGTGTGAGTGGGTGAGTGTGTGAGTGAGTGGGTGAGTGTGTGAGTGAGTGAGTGGGTGAGTGTGTGAGCGTGTGAGTGAGTGAGTGGGTGTTTGAGCGTGTGAGTGAGTGGGTGAGTAAGTGAGTGAGTGGGTGGGTGAGTGAGTGAGTGAGTGGGTGGGTGAGTGAGTGAGTGAGTGGGTGAGTGAGTGAGTGAGGGGGTGAGTGAGTGGGTGAGTGTGTGAATGGGTGAGTGTGTGAGTGAGTGGGTGAGTGTGTGAGTGAGTGAGTGGGTGAGTGTGTGAGCGTGTGAGTGTGTGAGTGAGTGAGTGTGTGAGTGAGTGAGTGGGTGAGTGGGTGAGTGAGTGAGTGGGTGGGTGAGTGGGTGGGTGAGTGGGTGAGTGAGTAAGTGAGTGTGTGAGTGTGTGAGTGAGTGGGTGAGTGTGTGGGTGAGTGAGTGAGTGTGTGAGTGAGTGGGTGAATGAGTGAGTGAGTGGGTGAGTGTGTGAGTGTGTGAGTGAGTGGGTGAGTGTGTGAGTGAGTGAGTGGGTGTGTGAGCGTGTGAGTGAGTGTGTGAGTGAGTGAGTGTGTGAGTGAGTGGGTGAGTGTGTGGGTGAGTGAGTGAGTGTGTGAGTGGGTGAGTGTGTGAGTGAGTGGGTGAGTGTGTGAGTGTGTGAGTGAGTGAGTGTGTGAGTGAGTGGGTGAATGTGTGAGTGAGTGAGTGGGTGTGTGAGCGTGTGAGTGAGCGTGTGAGTGTGTGAGTGAGTGAGTGTGTGAGTGAGTGAGTGGGTGAGTGGGTGAGAGAGTGGGTGAGTGAGTGAGTGAGTGGGTGAGTGAGTGAGTGAGTGGGTGGGTGTGTGAGTGAGTGGGTGAGTGGGTGGGTGAGTGAGTGAGTGGGTGAGTGAGTGAGTGAGTGGGTGGGTGAGTGGGTGAGTGAGTGAGTGAGTGGGTGAGTGAGTGGGTGGGTGGGTGAGTGAGTGAGTGAGTGAGTGGGTGGGTGAGTGAGTGAGTGAGTGGGTGAGTAAGTGAGTGAGTGGGTGGGTGGGTGAGTGAGTGAGTGGGTGAGTGCGTGGGTGAGTGAGTGAGTGAGTGGGTGAGTGGGTGAGTGAGTGAGTGGGTGAGTGAGTGGGTGAGTGTGTGAGTGGGTGAGTGTGTGAGTGAGTGGGTGAGTGTGTGAGTGAGTGGGTGAGTGTGTGAGCGTGTGAGTGAGTGAGTGGGTGTTTGAGCGTGTGAGTGAGTGGGTGAGTAAGTGAGTGAGTGGGTGGGTGAGTGAGTGAGTGGGTGAGTGGGTGGGTGAGTGAGTGAGTGAGTGGGTGAGTGAGTGAGTGAGGGGGTGAGTGAGTGGGTGAGTGTGTGAGTGGGTGAGTGTGTGAGTGAGTGGGTGAGTGTGTGAGTGAGTGAGTGAGTGGGTGAGTGTGTGAGCGTGTGAGTGTGTGAGTGAGTGAGTGTGTGAGTGAGTGAGTGGGTGAGTGGGTGAGTGAGTGAGTGGGTGGGTGAGTGGGTGGGTGAGTTGGTGAGTGAGTAAGTGAGTGTGTGAGTGTGTGAGTGAGTGGGTGAGTGTGTGGGTGAGTGAGTGAGTGTGTGAGTGAGTGGGTGAATGAGTGAGTGAGTGGGTGAGTGTGTGAGTGTGTGAGTGAGTGGGTGAGTGTGTGAGTGAGTGAGTGGGTGTGTGAGCGTGTGAGTGAGTGTGTGAGTGAGTGAGTGTGTGAGTGAGTGGGTGAGTGTGTGGGTGAGTGAGTGAGTGTGTGAGTGAGTGGGTGAATGAGTGAGTGGGTGAGTGTGTGAGTGTGTGAGTGAGTGAGTGTGTGAGTGAGTGGGTGAATGTGTGAGTGAGTGAGTGGGTGTGTGAGCGTGTGAGTGAGTGGGTGAGTGAGCGTGTGAGTGAGCGTGTGAGTGTGTGAGTGAGTGAGTGGGTGAGTGGGTGAGTGAGTGAGTGGGTGAGTGAGTGAGTGGTGGGTGAGTGAGTGAGTGGGTGAGTGGGTGAGTGAGTGGGTGAGTGAGTGTGTGAGTGAGTGAGTGGGTGAGTGAGTGAGTGGGTGAGTGAGTGAGTGGGTGGGTGAGTGAGTGAGTGGGTGAGTGGGTGAGTGGGTGGGTGAGTAGGTGAGTGGGTGAGTGGTGAGTGAGTGGTGAGTGAGTGGTGAGTGTGTGGGTGAGTGAGTGGGTGGGTGAGTAGGTGAGTGAGTGAGTGGGTGAGTGAGTGGTGAGTGAGTGGGTGAGTGGGTGAGTGAGTGAGTGGTGTGTGAGTGAGTGAGTGGGTGAGTGAGCGTGTGCATGAGCGTGTGAGTGAGCGTGTGAGTGTGTGAGTGAGTGAGTGGGTGAGTGGGTGAGAGGGTGGGTGAGTGAGTGAGTGAGTGGGTGAGTGAGTGAGTGGGTGGGTGGGTGGGTGAGTGGGTGGGTGAGTAGGTGAGTGGGTGAGTGTGTGAGTGTGTGAGTGGGTGAGTAGGTGAGTGAGTGAGTGAGTGGGTGAGTGAGTGAGTGAGTGGTGAGTGAGTGGGTGAGTGAGTGAGTGAGTGGTAAGTGAGTGGGTGAGTGAGTGAGTGAGTGGTAAGTGAGTGAGTGTGTGAGTGTGTGAGTGAGTGAGTAGGTGAGTGAGCGTGTGCATGAGCGTGTGAGTGAGCGTGTGAGTGTGTGAGTGAGTGAGTGGGTGAGTGGGTGAGAGAGTGGGTGAGTGAGTGAGTGAGTGGGTGAGTGAGTGAGTGGGTGTGTGAGTGAGTGAGTGAGTGGGTGAGTGAGTGGGTGAGTGAGTGAGTGGGTGGGTGAGTGAGTGAGTGGGTGGGTGAGTGAGTGAGTGGGTGAGTGGGTGGGTGAGTGTGTGAGTGGGTGAGTGTGTGAATGAGTGTGTGAGTGAGTGGGTGGGTGTGTAAGTGAGTGTGTGAGTGGGTGAGTGTGTGAGTGGGTGAGTGAGTGAGTGGGTGGGTGAGTGGGTGAGTGAGTGAGTGAGTGGGTGAGTGAGTGGGTGGGTGAGTGAGTGAGTGGGTGGGTGAGTGAGTGAGTGAGTGGGTGAGTGAGTGGGTGAGTAAGTGAGTGAGTGGGTGGGTGAGTGAGTGAGTGGGTGAGTGGGTGGGTAAGTGAGTGAGTGGTTGAGTGGGTGAGTAAGTGAGTGAGTGGGTGAGTGAGTGGGTGAGTGTGTGAGTGTGTGAGTGGGTGAGTGTGTGAGTGAGTGGGTGAGTGTGTGAGTGAGTGAGTGTGTGAGTGTGTGAGTGAGTGAGTGGGTGAGTGAGTGGGTGAGTGAGCGTGTGCATGAGCGTGTGAGTGAGCGTGTGAGTGTGTGAGTGAGTGAGTGGGTGAGAGTGGGTGAGTGAGTGAGTGGGTGAGTGAGTGAGTGGGTGTGTGAGTGAGTGGGTGAGTG